AAATATATTTTCGAAATACTTTTTATCGAATTTAAAATAAGATTTATTACAAAACTATTTAAAAACATTGAATTGCGAATTCTTATCTCAAACGTCGTTATTTTTGTCGATTTCAGTGTAAAATTTAATTTCAAAATTCTAGAATAAACGGTAACAAATTGCAATAAAATAATAACATAGTCACCATTTTGCTGATTTTATTCTGTGGAATAAACACATTAATTATGAAACTAAGTTGAAACAAATATAATAACATGCGCATAGTGATAAGGTCGAAAGGAAAAAATTACTAGTTAGGTAATGATGCAAAATCATTAGATACCATCCACATGTTAGATACATTGACTGCACTTGTTTGATGGACTGTGAATTGAGGGCGTAGAGTACAAGTATGCATATTCACTAGATTTATTACAAATTAATTCTTTACAAAATAATTTATAATAGCACTAACTGTATCCGACAGTTTTATGTACGCACGAGTTACAGTATGAGATATTATATATCTAGGATATAATCTATTTGTGTAGTAAATTTAATTGAAATGCATTTAATAGTTTATGTGTGATTCACAAACATCACAATATTTAAACAACTTTAGAATTTTTTATATAATATTAGTACGATTAAAATTAATATCTTTAGTTTATCATTTCGAATTATTAAACCGATTTCATTTATTCTTTTCGCAATTTATAAGGTGTCGCAATGATAAAATGTAATAAAATATAAAATAATAAAATGTTGAATTATATATAAATGTTAATAAGAATTTGCCGTATGGTCCCGGCCATAGAATAGGCCATCCCTTCCCTTCTTATGGGTATCATACGAGGCAACTAAGAGAACTTAATCAGATGGAATTAAATCGAGGAATGGGCAGCAGAGCCCCTCTTAAAATATCACCAAACCTAAACTGCCAGGGGGAAGGGATTGTTAGTAATGGGGTCTAACAGCCCCATTGTTAGCAATACTCTATCAGGTCGACCTCCACGCGGTTCCCCCTGGAAACCATCGTGGTTAATTCTTGTGAATTCGTTACGATGGGCTCACTGACCTGTTTTCGTCCTAACCATCATCATCATCAGCTATCACTGGTGCCATAGCGTAGGCAAGGTAACTATTTTATTTTCACCCATTAACAAAAACATAAACTGCCATATTACGTCATTTTATACGAATATCGAAATGATAAAGGTTAGAGCAAAATATAATATTAAATAGGTACACAAAAGCTAAATAGAAAATTGAAATCACTAGCATTTGATGGGGTGTTTAATAGTATAACAGAATATTTTTTCTGAAGCGTTTCTTTGAACAAAAATAATAGTTTTATAGCACTAGTTAAAGAATAATAGTTTGAATACAAAAACAGTCATATATTTCTCTTTTTCAAACAAACTTTAGGTAAACGAGAAAAGAAAGAAGACGTTAGTTATTTGACGCAATAAATCTAATAAAAAATGCTCATGTTAATTTTATTAATGTGTGTGTATACCATACACACATTTAAATATTTATATATTAGTTACATATATTGTATAATATTTGTATAACTGTATCCCAATGCTATTCTTTACGAAACACCTATAATTTCTATCAATCTGTTGAACGTACTCATGTATTGTATAAGTACACATACAATACACAAGTATGGAGCGTCGTTAATTATCTGCGCTTAATTATCGAGCTCTCCTTTTTATTGCGGCCTCTTGTGGGAACTCACCGGAACAATATTATCGGAAACCACATACCCACAGTCATGTAGGTATTGAGTATATAATGTATTTATCCATGTACTTGTATTTGATATTTATGAAAATAGGAAAAAATAAAATATTATAAATTAAAAAAAAAATATTAAGATAATGCCGCCTGTGCCTGTGTGGTTTAGCTAGCGGGATATCAGTGAGGATGAAGGCAGAATAATTATCTTTTCGAGATAAATTCACAAACAATTAATAACGGCCTCTTTCTTGAAGGCACTGCGTAGAAGTTAACTTGATACGCTAACTTCTGTTTATTAATAATATTAATTCAAGAATTTAAAGGTACTTTGTTTATAAAAATTTTAAAAAGTATTATGCTACAGAAGCTTCATTTTTTATAATATTATTAGTTTTGATTGCTGTACTCGGATCAAATATTGCTTATACCAAATTTCATGAGGATTATTTGAGTCACTGTTAATATTCCAAAAAGTGGACAAACAAATAAACAAAGTCACTTTAGTGTTCTTAAAATATCTCTGAATATAGTATTGTACAAGGCAACTAAGGGAACTTATTGGTCGAGTGATAGGTAGCAACGTTTCTCTTAAAACATCTCTTAAGCCTGACTGCGGTTGTCCAATCCGCCTGCCAAGCGTGGCAACTTCTGGCAAAACCCCCTAATCAGAGGGAGAGAAGCAGAGAGGGAGGTTTATGTTCAGCAGTGGACAGTTAAAGGCTGATATGATGATGATGATGATGACTGTAGCATTATAAGGACAAGAATTTGGGAACATGGTATAGAATTTGACGCAGTTTAATCAAGATACAGCATACATTATTTAAATGTTATTACGTCATTTTAAATTATATTAGGTTCAAACTAATTAATTAGATTAAATTAATATTAATTTTATTCAGTGATATCAATAATTCATTTTATAATATTTGGTTAAAATATTACTTATTAAAATACGAGTATTCATTGTGGCCTTGTACTTAGCACAAGATACGCATGCGGCAAATGAAGCATGTAAATTGCTAAATAATGGGATAGAGTTAAAGTGATAGAAATTTTGTAGAAAACTTTTACGGGAGATAAACATGCAATAAAAAAAATTATATAAAATCCTATAGATATGGGATACAATGAGTATAATATATAGAATTTACTTCCAGACTCGCAAACAGAAATAACAAATATGTTTCTATATCTATTTACTCTATATCTATCTATTTCAGTCATACTGTGAACCTATAAAATTATAAATTCAGGAAGACAGGTGAAAAAGTATAGTGAGTAATGAATTCAGGAAAAAAAATAACTATATTACGACAACTTTGTTCTTCAACTTAAAGAAAAAACTAATTAAGTATTAATCTAATTATTTTTTTACTGAGAGAAAAATAAAATAACGAATGTAACACATACGTTGTTCACCGCTGAACATAGGACTCCTCTGTAAATCAGTGTAAAGAACTATCGAAACCGTTCTTTTGCATCCTATTTGAAATTGTCGCTCCAGCTAGTAGGGAATAGGGGGGAAGAGATTGTTAGCAATGCGGATTAGCGGTCCCATTACCGTTCCATTGTTATAATTTGTCTGTAGAATACAGATCGCTAAACATACAAGAATACATTGAACTACGTATTAGCATAGTGAAACTTTCGATTTGTCATGTCCGGTCCAATATTGGAAATGTAATATCATGCTTATATAACCGGCGGCTCCCGTACCTATCTAAACGGTATTAATTATTTATTAACTTTCGTTGGTACGATTAAAATATAATAAAAATACTGACGCAATTATTAACTAGCTTTATTTCGTGTCTTCGTTCGCATGAATAAAATATATAGAATGTCCTATGTTTCAAGGATATAACCTATTCGTGTACCAAAATCCATGAAAATTTTTACAGTATCTTTTGCGTGAAAGAGTATCAAAGATCCACCCGTCTTTATGTACATAGTAGTGCTATAGTATGCTGTCAAGGAGATTTATCTAACTTATAAATTTTGTTATTATACGTAAATTTAATAAAATTTATGCTGAACAGCTGACGGAAAATAGCAATCGTCGTTTATAGATAAAAACAACGCCATGGATTTTATAGAGTGTAGTGACACCTATGACACGTCTGTACATATGTTCAATGTATTATCATCACGTAAGTACGTTATACTAAGTCTATGGTATCATCATCATGAACTTAACGTCTTATAGACCTTTGTAATTTTACAACAATATTTTTAATACGAAGCATAATTACGCAGAAAGCTTATCTGCTTCGTGGAGGACAATTTTACGTATGAGTATAAAATTAATACTTGTAAATAATTGTAATTCCATAAATGCATTATAGACCATTTACAAAGTTTAAAGTAAATTTAATCTATTCCCCTTTGGTCCTTTTAAAACAAATTATTATAATTTTTATAGAATATTATATACCAATTATATTATAAATATAAATGCGAAAGTTTGCAATGATGGATAGGTGGATGGATATTTTTTTTTTGTTATTCTTTCACACAAACATTTTTGAGCGGATTTGAATGAAATTTGGTATACAAGTAAATTATATCCTAATTTAGCAGGGTACTTCATATACTGATTTACGTAGGTGAAGCCGTGAGATGTAGCTAGTTAAAAATAAACTAAATAAAATATTTATATATAAAATTAATAATTTTAAACTATCAAAAATATTATACCCGAATTACCCTTAAAACATATTTGTTTCTAATACATAATTAGATATTATAATTATTTTATTATTTCCAAAAATTATTGAATAGAGTCATCTTAATTTCAATTCTAAAGTTTCTTTGTTAAACTGTTATATTAAATCATGAATATAAAAATTAAATATACATGCAATAAAACTTTACTGCTTTTGAATGGAAAATAAATTTAGTTATTTCACTCAGAAATAATCTAGCACGTAGTGTGATTTATTAATTATTCTTTCACATAGATTCAATCGTATTTGTCTGCATCATTCTATGATCAATTTGTATCAATAAAGGCGTGTATATTTATAATTATAAAATCGAAACACTTTCGCAAATGCAAATAAATCAGGTTCTAATTCACTTTCGATAGAAATATTCGGTAGATAGATTTGGTATATCTACCGAATAAAGATATAAGATCTTATCTATGAATTTGATTCTCATTTAACAGTCCATTTATTGAAGACTAAACGTTTTAATATTTTGAGAGATAATTCTACATAAGTTGTACGTTTATAAATTAGTCAAGTGAAATGTTAATTAATTCTTACCTAATAATTTGTACAGCGCGGCGTGTAAACCGTGCGAGCTTCTCAAATGTCGGAACAATAGAACATTGCAGTTTAAAAGAGTCGTTATATCACATAACTAATCAAATCAAAAGTCACTTTTTAATTTAGTTCTGGCCGTAAATAAAATTTGTAAACATTAAAAATGTTACGAGTCATATTTGAAAATGGAATCAAGGTGAATTCCGATTTCGCAGTGTAAGGCTATACTCGACTATTTACTATTTCGATAATTTTGCAAACACGTGTTTTTCCGGAGAGTGTACACGAGATGACTCGCCGGTACCGCGAGTGTCGGATAAATGGCGAACGGAGAGAGCACCTGTACGGCTCATCCGTGCACATGGTTGCATGTAAAGCACCTGTTACATTCGTAGAGCGGTAACAGCAACTTGCGACAGTTTTGTACGCGAGCAGATATCAACGATACGACATATTACTAATAGATTACAATTCTGCATGTGCTTTATTTATTTTTTATTACTCCATAACTATATAATTAGTGACATATAAAATAATTTTATGTATTAACTAAAGTATGTGGAAAAAAACGTAGCAGAAAAACAATACTGAAAAGTAACACATAGCTATTTCCTATATTAAAAACTATATATATATATATATATAATAAGTTTAGCGATGCGACTAAAGAACGAGATTAAAATTTTTATTTATATAGATGTAATAGACGCAACAACTATTGGTACTTAGTGGAATTTAGAATCATAGGTACTTTTATGCGAATTTTATTAGAATTCTCATTTTAAAAATTGCTTTATGCTTAGAGAATTTAGAAAAGCAATGCAGATATTTTTCTTTAATGTATGAGGAGTGTCAATAAGTATCAATAAATTGCTTTTAACAACAAGGCGAGCAATTAATAAGTGCGTAGTTTCATATAAATTGTATTTTATATATAATATTTATAGTTCTGTGTATCAATATGTAGTTAGTTTATGCTAAAAATGCAAATAAGTATTGTATCTATCTATCTAAATTAACTTATTCACTTCATCTACCAGAGAGAGATTTTGTACAAAACTCGTCTGCTCGGATAACTATGTCACATTCGTGATTCTGCCATGAAGCAGTTGTGTTTACATGGCTGTGTTTCGGTTTGAAGGGTGGAATGTGGCAATGAAATTACAGTGTATATATATAATACCTTAGTCTTCAGGAAGGGCGACGAACGAAGGGTATCATGGGTGACACAGAATACTCTGTTTTGCCCACGGTATTATTCATGTCTATAGGCGACGGTTACCACTTTTCATCAGGTGGGCCGTCAGCTTGTTTGCCATTCTAAGAAGCAAATAAAATTAATCTAAAATTAAACTACATTCAATTTACACAAGCATGTCGCAAATTATAAAGGTAGGAGGTACATTTAAATATTTTTTATATTTAATTTGATTATGATTGATGCCCATCATATCGATTGACTTGTCCGCGTTCTTACGACGTATTCTCCTAATTGTTACATCTGCCATATATTCAATAGACGTTGTTAAACTTTATACTAGCGATAGACATTATTTGAACCGGTTTAGGGTTAATAATACTTGATTAATGTCGTAATGATCCTGTCAAGTTTGATATCTTCGTCAATAGCGGCAATTTGTACAGAATGTAATTCATCAAAACGTTGATTTGCATGTAAAAATTAAATATAATAATCGGTTATAAATTTAAAATTGTATTCTATTTTTAAATTGTATCCTATTCATAAATCTGGGTGCCCCGTTCGTTCTATTGGATACTGATACTTTTTATTAGTTTTTTGACTACTGTATGTTATGTCTTGTGAGTTTTTTTCAATGATTCTTATTGGTAAATCGGTGATTTATCTGTATATTGTATTATTGTATACAATATACTGCATTGCGTTCTAAGTAACTGTACGTTGCCTATACACTGCGTTTTTATGTCTATGATTTATTAGAAAAGTATTGGATGTCTTGATTTTAAAAAGAAATCCAAGTTACGTATATATTTTGACCAATATAGTAAGTTTATTCCCGTATTGGTAAAAATTTTGTGACTTTATGACGATTACATTTAGCATTTTTGCGACAAATTAAAATTAATATGTGTCCATTAAACATGTTGTCGTTCGAAGGTGTATTTATTTGCAGAATTTTGTGATTTTTCTATACAAGTTTTTTTTATGAAAGTAAGCACATTTATTCTATTTAGGTAAGAACAAACAATTTAAATTTAAATGTCAAGTCCAACTATAATGATCATCTTGTCTTTACAAATGAACAATGCCAAAACCGTAGAAATTATTACTTAGAACTTAATTGTTAATAAATTATCCATTACAATCGAATTTTCTCACAAAAAGCTGGCAGCGGCGAGATTCGAACTCGCGCCTCCGAAGAGACTGGTGCCTTAAACCAGCGCCTTAGACCGCTCGGCCACGCTACCACATGGGAGAAGTCCTGAAATAATTATTATCATTTCTGTTATATTTTTGAAATAACAAAAAAATTGCATTTGGGATAAAAACTATTTTTATTGAAATAGAATATCTTTGTAGTATTTTTAAACAACTTCAGTGAGAAGAAACCGATTTATAATAAAATGACTAGGGTTCATTCCCGTATCGGTGGCATATATATATTGATACTATTGAAATCATTACTTATATATATATATATATATATTTTTTATGGATTAAAGTCATATATTAATGGAAATAGTAGCAAAATTTTACTTCGATTCGACTTCCGCGCTGAATGTTATTACGTGTTGAAATGCTTGTTTTAAATTATTCATTGTAAAATAAAACAATACGCGATAATCAGAAGCAATTATCGAATGTTGCTATTGAACATACATATAATATTGAAGTCGATAAATAAGAATATAAGTGTACAGTTTAAATTTGAAAACTGGGACATGCTGCAATGACTCGCATGAAAAGTAGAGCCGCATAACTGAGCATAAATATCCGTCTATTTTAAAGATCCTAGATCTTTAAAATAGACACAGATACACACACACATTCACACATAATAACAAAAAAATATATTTGCGTTAGTTACACTAGCCACGAGCTTTATTTATTTATTTAATTTGGATAAAGAACATTAAGAAATAAGACAAAGAGTAGGTGGCGCACGATTATGTAGATACTAATATATATATATATATATATATATATATATATATATATATATATATATATATATATATATATATATATGTATATATGTATGTATATATATATATATATAGTGTAGGTTACATACACATATAAACGAATATATAAACACTTAATGTAATGTAACTATGCTACATATAACAGGTGAGAATGATGAAGGAAGATGAAGAAAGAACTCAGGAAAATAGTACTGAACGGAGAGACTTAACAGAGGTTATATTACTATAATTATATTTTTCATTTTTTATATCCAATCGGCAACTCCCACGTGACATCCGTAAGTCACATTTATAAAAGCATAATGTTAGGTGTTCATTTTTGTGATAAATATAGGTACAGCACTATTGAATAAATCGATGTAAGCTTTTGTTAATGTCTTTCAATTCTTGTATGGTAAGTATATAGTTTATTTTGTGATATAGATGTTCAGTTTATTCATATATTAAAAAATAACCATCAATAGTTTCCTGTTTCTAAATAATTTCAATGTCTATTTACTTTCAGTTGTGGATACTGCAATTTTTTACTGTATTCCCATAAAAAGGAAAAAGAGCAATCTTTAGTACAAGTTTAATAAGAATATACGTAAGAAAATGTAAAAGTAAGGTTATAATGTAAGGTTGACTGGAAGATATCTCTATCAGAAATAAGTCCACCCTTGTTCACAATATTTATAAATGCATTTACCTTGTAATTTACAAGGGCAATCAAATCTATATATGTGTATATCTATATAAAAGAAACAAAAACAAAATATATTTTAATGACACATCTATAGATTGTACGCATACAGAATATTTAAAATCGATGATACCAATTCAATACCTAAATAGTGTTCAACAAGGTTGACCAAATTGTGAAAGGGGCCGTGAGAATAACAACTGAAATGTGAACGGTCAACATGCAGATCACCTTGTTGGGATGATCCAATGCTCTGATTCTGAATGTGCCTATGAACGCTAACAAGTTATTATCGGTACAGCTTTGTAACTTGGGAACGACTTCACTTTTTAAAACTGGTGAATGTTAATGATCATTAATTTGTTTTTGTCTAATGATCCTCTAAATTCACTTCATTTCTAAATTGATTGAAAATGTTTAATTAAATATTTAGGTTATATTTTAGTCGATTTCACACGTCTTGTAATTAATTACAGCGATAAGTGATGATTATACTCGTAACTTTATAAGAGGTAGTTAGAAGCGCTGGCCGGCTTCTACCTGCTGCGATAGGAGAAAGAATTAACAAAAAAGCCACCTAATGAATTGTTGAGCAATTTATATGGAAATATACCTATTATATAGGATTGTGAGCAGTTTATTCACAAATTAACTATTAGTGCATCATGTGCTTGACTTAAGGATTTGATGTGGAGCTTTTTTCCTTTTTTTGTTTTGTGATTGTGACATAAAAGTTGCTATTTTATATTTTTTTAATAATCTGATGGCCTATCTAATGAAATGTGACAACCGACGTCTATAGATACAAACAACACCAAGGACAATAACAAATATGTGCTATTTAAATGGCAAACTATACAAAAACACTAGATTTTAGCAACGATCACATAATAGATGTTGTCATTCCTGAAATTAAAATGTTATGCTTTCGTATTTTATGATTTTACTACCATATCCCAGCCTTTAAACTGAAAATCAATTTTTTTATACGACTTAGAATGGCAAACAAGCTGACGGCCTACCTGATGAAAAGTGGTAACCGTTACCTATAGACATGAGCAGTACCGTGGACATAACAGTACACACACATACTGTTTCACCCGTAATACCCCCCATGCGTTGCCATACCTGAGGACTCAGATGTTATTCCTCTGTACCCTGTAAATTAACACCATATCCCACCCTTCAAATCGAAACACAGCCATGCAAACACAACTACTTCACGGTAGAAACACGAATGGGACAGAGGTACCCAAGCAATCGACTTTTGTACAAAGTCTCCCTCTGGTATAGTAAGTAAACACATATAGGTACGTAAACTGTGTTTACCAAAGGAATATAATGCACAAAAAAAGATAAGATAGGTAGTATCTATTTATTACACAGTCTGTTTTTGGCAAATATGTTGAGACTCATAAGAAATCATTAAAATAAACGGACAT